TCAGACCGATTGTTGTTGCTAGGTTACCAAAGTGTAGTGACCGTTAGGTGTGTTTTAGCTTCATAATAATAATAATAACTTGGATTTATATCAGATTTATTTATAAGGAACCCAAGGACGCTTTACAAAGGTAAACAGGTGACAGCAAAAAGCACAAACACACACATACACACATACACACACACACACACACACACAGACACACTCAATGGGGAGGGGGAGGGGTGTTAGCTAGGCTGTATGCTTTGGTGAACAGGTGGTGTTTGAGAAGTTTTTTGAAAATGTCCAGAGATGTGGCAGAGAAGGAGGAGGTCGCTGAGGTACGGTGGTGCTAGACCATGGAGAGATTTGTAGGTGAGTAGGAGGAGTTTATATTGAATGGGGGACTTTATCGGGAGCCAGTGGAGGTGGGGGGGGGGGGAGGTAGGAGTGGAACCAGGAGAGAGCCGAGGTGTTCAGATAGGTGGTGGCGGAGGATGGTATGGGAGACAGACAGGTCTAGGAGGATGAGGAGGTCGTTGGTGATTTTAATGAGGGTGGTTTCTGTGCTGTGGTGGGTTAGGGGGGTTAGGGGGGTTAGGGGGGTTAGGGGTCTGAAGCCGGATTGGAATGGTTCGTAGAGCTCATGGTTGGACTGGTGGAGTTGGGCAGCAGCTGCTCTTTCTGATTTTGCGGAAAGGAAGGTTGGAGATCGGGGGGGAAGTTGTTTGGGTGTTTTTGAGGATGGGTGTGACTGATGCTTTTTTAAAGTTGGGGGGGGGTGATGTTGAATATGGTGGAGCACTAGAGGGGGAGGCAGGTCTTAACCAGGGCAGTGGGCATGGGGTCCGGGGAACAGGTGATGAGTTTACCTGAAAGAGCAGTGGGGGTGATGTAAGTGACGGGGAGGAGGGGATTTACTGTATCTCCATGACAACAGGAAAACGATGTGCTGGCTACATTCCCTAACCTGCCGGCTGATACATACTGTTACAGCGGCATCAGGAGGAAGACTGTTCTCAACATGCCACTACTGCCCAACCTGGACCTGAAGAACGACCCGGTACACACACACACACACACACACACACACACACACACACACACACACACACACACACACTAACAGACAGACAGACGATTCTTCTCAGCAGCTGGTGTGTCCATCTTTCAGTCTGTGAGTCTCCTCCTAACTCTTATGATTCTGTCTCCTCTTCTTCTCGTCTCCGCTTCTCCTCTTCTCCTTGTCTCCTCTCCTCCTCGTCTCCTCTTCTCCTCTTCTCCTCGTCTCCTCTTCTCCTCGTCTCCTCTTCTCCTCGTCTCCTCGTCTCCTCTTCTCCTCTTCTCCTCGTCTTCTCGTCTCCTCTTCTCCTCGTCTCGTCTCCTCTTCTCTTCTCCTCTTCTCCTCGTCTCCTCTTCTCCTCTTCTCCTCGTCTCCGCTTCTCCTCGTCTCCTCTTCTCCTTGTCTCCTCTCCTCCTCGTCTCCTCTTCTCCTCGTCTCCTCGTCTCCTCTTCTCCTCTTCTCCTCTCCTCCTCATCTCCTCTTTCCTCTTCTCTTCTCCTCTTCTCCTCGTCTCCTCTCCTCCTCGTCTCCTCTTCTCCTCTTCTCCTCTCCTCCTCGTCTCCTCTTCTCCTTGTCTCCTCTCCTCCTCGTCTCCTCTTCTCCTCTTCTCCTCTCCTCCTCGTCTCCTCTTCTCTTCTCCTCTTCTCCTCTTCTCCTCTCCTCCTCGTCTCCTCTTCTCTTCTCCTCTTGTCCTCTTCTCCTCTCCTCCTCGTCTCCTCTTCTCTTCTCCTCTTCTCCTCTTCTCCTCTCCTCCTCGTCTCCTCGTCTCCTCGTCTCCTCGTCCTCCTCCTTTTCCAGGCCGAGCTGACAGAGCTGGTTCAGACATACAAACAGGAGGTAACAGAAGCGGCGTGCGAGCTGATCTGTGACTGGGCCCAGAAGATCCTGAAGCGTTCATTCGACACGGTGGTGGAGATCGCTCGTTACCTGATCCAGGAACACATCGTGAACCCTCGCTGTAGTCAGGCCGAGCTCGTCACGTCTGCAGCCCTCGCAGGTACGCACGCCGTCACAGGACGTCAAATCAATCGATACGATATCCATGAAAATCAAACTGTATCGACTTTAACCACAAAGTCCTGCACACTGTCTAAAGAACACACACACACAACACACAAACACACAAACACACACAACACACAACACACAAAACACACAACACACACACACAACACACACACAACACACAAAACACACAAACACACAACCACACAAAACACACAAAACACACAAAACACAAAACACACACAAACACACAACACACACACAACACAAACACAAAAACACACAAAACACACAACACACAAAACACACAAACACACACAACACACAAACACCAAACACACACAACACACAACACACAAAACACACAACACACACACAACACACAACACACAAAACACACAAAACACACAACACACAAAACACACAACACACACACAACACACAAACACACAAAACACACAAACACACACAAAACACAAAACACACACAAAACACAAAACACACAAAACACAACACACACACAACACAAAACACACAAAACACACAAAACACACAACCACACAAAACACACAAACACACACAAAACACAAAACACACAAAACACAACACACACACAACACAAACACACAAAACACACAAAACACAAAACACACAAAACACACACACACAAACACACAAAACACACAAAACACACAACACACACACAACACACAACACACAAAACACACAAAACACACAACACACAAAACACACAACACACACACAACACACAAAACACACAAAACACACAACCACACAAAACACACAAACACACACAAAACACAAAACACAACACACACACAACACAAAACACACAAAACACACAAAACACAAACACACAAAACACACACAACACACAAACACAACAAAACACACAAAACACAACACACACACACAACACACAAACACACAAAACACACAAAACACACAACACACAAACACAACACACACACAACACAACAAAACACAAAACACACAAAACACACAACCACACAAAACACACAAACACACACACACAACACACACACAAACACACACAACACACAACACACAAAACACAAAACACACACAACACACAAACACACAAACACACACAACACACAACACACAAAACACACAACACACACACAACACACAAAACACACAACACACACACAACACACAAAACACACAAAACACACAACCACACAAACACACAAACACACACAAAAACACAAAAACACACAACACACACACAACACAAAACACACAAAACACACAAAACACAAAACACACACAACACACAAACACACAACACACAAAACACACAACACACAAAACACACAAAACACACAACACACAAAACACAACACACACACAACACACAAAACACACAAAACACACAAAACACAAAACACAAAACACACAAAACACACACAAACACACAAAACACACAAAACACACAAAACACACAACACACAAACACACACAAAACACACAAAACACACACAACACACAAACACACAAACACACACAACACACAACACACAAAACACACAACACACACACAACACACAACACACAAAACACACAACACACACACAACACACAAAACACACAAAACACAAAACACACAAACACAAAACACACAAACACACACAACACACAAACACACACACAACACACAAAACACACAAAACACACAACACACAAACACACAACACACACACAACACACAACACACACAAAACACACAAAACACACACAACACACAAACACACACAACACACAACACACAAAACACACAACACACAACACACAAACACACAACACACACAACACACACACAACACACACACAACACACAAACACACACAACACACAACACACAAAACACACAACACACAAAACACACAACACACAAAACACACAAACACACAACACACAAAACACACAACACACAAAACACACACAAAACACACAAAACACACAAAACACAAAACACACAAAACACACACAACACACAAACACACACACAACACACAAAACACACAAAACACACAACACACAAAACACACAACACACACACAACACACAACACACAAACACACAAACACACACAACACACAACACACAAAACACACAACACACACACAACACACAAAACACACACAACACACAAAACACACAAAACACACAAACACACACAACACACAACACACAAAACACACACACAACACACAAAACACACAAAACACACAACACACAAAACACACAACACACACACAACACACAACACACAAAACACACAACACACACACAAACACACAAAACACACAAAACACACAACACACAAAAAACACACAACACACACACAACACACAAAACACACAAAACACACAAAACACACAAAACACACAACACACAAAACACACAACACACACACAACACACAAAACACACAACACACAAAACACACAACACACACACAACACACAAAACACACAACACACAACACACACACAACACACAAACACACACACAAACACACAACACACAAAACACACAACACACACACAACACACAAAACACACAAAACACACAACACACAAAACACACAACACACACACAACACACAAACACACAAACACACACAACACACAACACACAAAACACACAACACACACACAACACACAACACACAAAACACACAACACACACACAACACACAAAACACACAAAACACACAACCACACAAACACACACAAAACACACAAACACACAACACACACACACAAAAACACACAAAACACACAAAACACAAAACACACAAAACACACACAAACACACAAAACATACAACACACAAAACACACAACACACACAAAACACACAAAACACACAACACACAAAACACAACACACACACAACACACAAAACACACAAAACACACAAAACACAAAACACACAAAACACACAAAACACACAACACACAAAACACACACAAAACACACAAAACACACACAAAACACACAAAACACACACAACACACAAACACACAAAACACACAAAACACACAACACACACAAAACACACAAAACACAAACACACAAAACACAAAACACACAAAACACAGACACACAACCACACAAACACACAAAACACACAACCACACAAAACACACAAAACACACAACACACAAAACACACAACACACACACAACACACACAACCACACAAAACACACAAAACACACAACACACACACAACACACAAAACACACCAAACACACAAAACACACAAAACACAACCACACAAAACACACAAACACACACAAACACACAAAACACACAACCACAAACACCAACCACACAAAACACACAAAACACACAAACACACACAAACACACAAAACACACAAAACAACACACACACACACAACACACAACCACACAAAACACACAACCACACACAACACACAACACACAAAACACACAAAACACACAACACACACACAACACACAAAACACACAACACACAAAAACCAACAACACACAAAACACACAAAACACAAAACACACAAAACACACAACACACAAAACACACAACACACACAACACACAAAACACACAAAACACACAACACACAAAACACACAACACACACACAACACACACAACACACAAAACACACAAAACACACAACACACAACCACACAAAACACACAAAACACACAAAACACACAAAACACACAACACACAACCACACAAAACACACAAAACACACAAACACACAAAACACACAACACACACACAACACACAACCACACACAACACACAAAACACACAAAACACACAACCACACAAAACACACAACCACACAAAATACACAAAACACACAACCACACAAAACACACAACCACACAAACACAGACACACAAAACACACAACACACACAACCACACACATACACACAAAACACACAAAACACACAAAACACACAACCACACAAAACACACAAAACACACAAACACACACAAACACACAAAACACACAACACACAAAACACACAAAACACACACAACACACACACAACACACACAACACACAAAACACACAAAACACACAACACACACACAACACACAAAACACACAACACACAAAAACCAACAACACACAAAACACACAACACACAAAACACACAAAACACACAACACACAAAACACACAACACACACACAACACACCACAAAAACACAAAACACACACACACACACACAAAACACACAACACACACACAACACACACAACACACAAAACACACAAAACACACAACACACAACCACACAAAACACACAAAACATACAAACACACACAAAACACACAAAACACACAACACACAACCACACAAAACACACAAAACACACAAACACACAAACACAACACACACACAACACACAACCACACACAACACACAAAACACACAAAACACACAACCACACAAAACACACAACCACACAAAATACACAAAACACACAACCACACAAAACACACAACCACACAAAACACAGACACACAAAACACACAACACACACAACCACACACATACACACAAAACACACAAAACACACAAAACACACAACCACACAAAACACACAAAACACACAAACACACACAAACACACAAAACACACAACACACAAAACACACAACACACACAAACACACACAACACACAAAACACACAAAACACACAAAACACACAAAACACACAAACACACACAAACACACACAAACACACAAAACACACAACACACACACAACACACAAAACACAAACACACAAAACACAAACACACGAAACATAAAAAACACACAAACACACAAACACACAAAACACAACGCAAACACACAAACACACGAAACACACAAACACACGAAACACACGAAACACACAAACACACGAAACACACAAACACACAAAACACACACACACAAAACACACAAAACACACAAACACACAAAACACACAACACACAAACACACGAAAACACACAAACACACAAAACACACAAAACACACGAAACATAAAAAACACACAAACACACAAAACACTCAAACACATGAAGTTCTACATGTAGTTCTGCAGGTGTTCTACATGTAGTTCTGCAGGTGTTCTGCAGGTGTTCTACTGGTGTTCTACATGTAGTTCTGCAGGTGTTCTGCAGGTGTTCTACTGGTGTTCTACATGTAGTTCTGCAGGTGTTCTACATGTAGTTCTGCAGGTGTTCTACATGTAGTTCTGCAGGTGTTCTGCAGGTGTTCTACTGGTGTTCTACATGTAGTTTTGCAGGTGTTCTACATGTAGTTTTGCAGGTGTTCTACATGTAGTTCTGCAGGTGTTCTACATGAAGTTCTGCAGGTGTTCTACATGTAGTTCTGCAGGTGTTCTACATGTAGTTCTACAGGTGTTCTACATGTAGTTCTGCAGGTGTTCTACATGTAGTTCTACAGGTGTTCTACATGTAGTTCTGCAGGTGTTCTACTGGTGTTCTACATGTAGTTCTGCAGGTGTTCTGCAGGTGTTCTACTGGTGTTCTACATGTAGTTTTGCAGGTGTTCTACATGTAGTTTTGCAGGTGTTCTGCAGGTGTTCTACATGTAGTTCTGCAGGTGTTCTACATGTAGTTCTACAGGTGTTCTACATGTAGTTTTGCAGGTGTTCTGCAGGTGTTCTACATGTAGTTCTGCAGGTGTTTTACATGAAGTTCTGCAGGTGTTCTACATGTAGTTCTACAGGTGTTCTACATGTAATTTTGCAGGTGTTCTACGTGTAGTTCTGCAGGTGTTCTACATGAAGTTCTGCAGATGTTCTACATGAAGTTCTGCAGGTGTTCTACATGTAGTTCTACAGGTGTTCTACATGTAATTTTGCAGGTGTTCTACGTGTAGTTCTGCAGGTGTTCTACATGAAGTTCTGCAGATGTTCTACATGAAGTTCTGCAGGTGTTCTACATGTAGTTCTGCAGGTGTTCTGCAGGTGTTCTACATGAAGTTCTGCAGGTGTTCTACATGTAGTTCTGCAGGTGTTCTACAGGTGTTCTACATGAAGTTCTGCAGGTGTTCTACATATAGTTCTACAGGTGTTCTACATGTAGTTTTGCAGGTGTTCTACATGTAGTTCTGCAGGTGTTCTGCAGGTGTTCTACATGAAGTTCTGCAGGTGTTCTACATGTAGTTTTGCAGGTGTTCTACATGTAGTTCTGCAGGTGTTCTACAGGTGTTCTACATGAAGTTCTGCAGGTGTTCTACATGTAGTTTTGCAGGTGTTCTGCAGGTGTTCTACATGAAGTTTTGCAGGTGTTCTACATGTAGTTCTGCAGGTGTTCTAAGCTCTAGTACTTTTTAATACTGTTGATTATGTTAAACACGTAGCATTGAAGAAGAAGTATAGAACATTTCTGAATGTTTTTCGTCTCTTTTTCCTGACTTTGGTTCCCTTGGTACCTTTGGTTTGGTTCCCTTTTCCTTTTAGTTTGGTTCCCTGAATGTAAGAATGAAATGTTTGGTGGGGTAACTGAGTGTCGTCTGTCTGCAGGAGGTCCGGCCAAAACACACAAAGTCATCAAGAAAACGCCGGCCGTCCATAAACCTGACAGCGACGCTGAGCAGAAGGTGATCACAGCTGTTCAATTAGTGATGGTTCAGGTTCTACAGATGTTCTGTGACGCTCATCACTTTCTCTGCTCTTTAGAGGGAGAACCTCGGAGACCTGAAGCAGCCGTCAGCAGACAAATCAGCTGCAGCCAAACCTTCATCCCTGGAAGCTCTGCCTCCCCCCTCCTCTTCCTCCTCTCTGCGTCCTGCTGTACGTTGACTCCTCCTCCTCAGTGGTCTTTGTTTTTCATGAATCAGTCCGATGTTTGTTGTTTCTAACTGTCTGACTCTCTGAGCTGCAGGTGGAAGCCTTCATGAAGCAGTTACCCAGAATCCTCCCTCGCAGCTCCATCCCTGACAAGACGCAGCTCTCTGTCCGCTCCTCTCCGCCGTCATTGGCTCCAAAAGACGCCTCAGGTGTGGGTGGAGCATCTGGACCAGGAGGCCCTGCTGCTGCTGCTGCTGCCAGCGGTGGTGGAGTCAAGGTTATCATGGCGACATTACCACAGCAGCAGGGTGCTCCTGTCCCCTTGATGATTCTGCCTCAGGGATGTCTCTATGAGAGAGAGAAGGTGGCCCCCCCTCCTGCAGCCCCCACCTCAGTGGTACAGAAAGCACGAGGAAACACGAGTAAGCGCCCCTTGGAGTTGGCGTCAGGCGGCGGCGCTGTCGGCCTTTCTGGAGGCTCTGCTTCCAACACTCCTCCTGTGAAACGGAAACGTGGACGACCAAGAAAACCTCGACCAGAGGACGCTTTTCCGCCGCCTCGTCCTCCTCCTCCACAGCCTCACCCTCCTCCTCATCCCTCCCACCCTCCCATCATCACCTCCCTCACGGGTGGGGTCATACAGAAAGCTTCCTCCTCCTCGCAGCCCGTGCTGGAGCTGGTGATTCAGGACCAGTCCAGTCTGGTTCTGAGCCACCTTCCAGCAGACCCAGCTCACAGGCTGGTGGAGCACCGTGGGGTAGTGGTCCAGTGTCAGCCAGGAGGGGCGGGTGAGCCAGACCACCACAACAGGCCCCTACTGCTGTTCCAGAGTCCAGGAAACCCCAGCTGGGAGCTGGCGGCATCAAGCCGGACCCCGATGGTTGAGGTCATCCAGAAAGCTCCGAGACCGAGCAATAACAGCACTGCTGCAGCGGCAGCACACCTCCATCCTCACACCGCTCTTCCTCTGCCCACGCTGCACGAGGAGCGGGGGGAGGTAGAGATCACGCTGACGCCGCTAGAGCTGCCTTCCTCCTCCACCTCCTCTCCCCCACCTGCTCCTGCCTCCTCCGTCACAGTAAAGACTGAGGAGGACCACATCTCCTCACAAAGAGAGGGACACTAGCTGTTACCTCACCTACAGCCAAGCCCCGCCCCCTCAAATCCCATTCACCTCCTCCTTATTGGTTGAAATCCCAGATTGGTCGCAGCAGAGAGCCGGTCAGGAGGATAAATGAAGCCAAAATTCCCTTCATCAGCTCCCATTGCACTTCTAAACAGACGCTTTACAAACGTATGATTCTTTAACTGCATGTCTGTTTGTCCGTCTGTCAGTGGAGGGTCAGGAGAGCTGCTCCTCAGATCCCCGGGCCCCATTTAAACCTTCCTTCCCTCCTTGCATCCTTGTTTCCTTAATCCTTAGATTATTCCTTTTCTGTGCTGAGGGATGGTTTTCAGCTGCATCACCTTTACAGCCTCCAATCAGCTGATTCATGGAGCACAGTAATGACTTTGAAGAGGATTGATACTAAAGGTACTACGGGTCAGAGCCTTGTGAAGGTTCTTTGTGTTATATATGAAAAATCACCTTTTAAACAGAGTTCAGCCTCGACTCACCTTCAGTTCAACTCATGTATAAAAATGATTTCAGGATGTGGGGGTTAGAGGGATAGAAATGGAAGTCTAATAACTGAATCTAGTCTGGTGGAGCTGAGGACCAAGTCCTGCTTTGTCTCCAGGAAGTGGTTTTCAGTTTAACTTTTGATTTGAGGTGAATCGCAGCTGGACTCTGGGTTTCTCTGTTCTGAACAGATTTGTTTTGTTGTGTTTGTGACAGTGTTGGTGTCGTTCATGTGTGTGTGTGTGTGAGACAGGGAGGACAACACACTCAATTTCAAGGCTTTAAATATCTATTCACCAGAGATGGGTCATAAAATAAACCTTGTTAATATGAAGTCATTTGAATTTGTCAGATGGATTACTGTAGAAGAACCTCCATGGCCGGCTGAGAGTCAAAGTAAAACTAGTGTGAATCAAATAAATGGTTTTAGGTAGAAATGTATTGAAGCAGCTGAGAGCGGAGGGTCTGCAGGCGTCTTTCTAGTTCCTCAGTTTTTATCAGGATTCCTTTATTTGAATCTTTCCAACATTTGAACACAGGTTATTAAACTGCACAGAAACTGTGCTTTATAATTACCTGAGCCTTGCAGGGTTTGTAATTCATCAGATACATTACAAACTCTTTGTTATATGTGAGGGAGGGGTGTCAAAAGTAAAACACTTCTTCAGGGAGTGCAGCTCTAGTCTGCATTTAGTCTGGCTCAATGTAAGAAAGAAACAATAGAATCACTTTATTGTGTTTTAGTCAGTTTATGAAACTTTAAGATTTATCAAAGACACAAATGTCACATGTTGATTCTAAGTCCTTGGAGGGCGGCAGCCATATTTATATGTATTTTAAAATGTGCCATATTTTAGAAATATTTTTTAAACACTTTAAAACTGGAGGAACGATAAAGCAGGAAGTACCTGATTGAAAACACAGCAGTTCACTTGAAGGTATTTTAAAGACAGATTTCACTCAGAACTGAAACTAAACTTTATGACCTACTTTAGGGTTTAGGGTTTAGGGTTTAGGGGTAGAGGGTTAGAGTTTAGGGTTTAGGGTTTAGGGGTAGAGGGTTAGAGTTTAGGGTTAGAGGGTTAGAGGGTTAGAGTTTAGGGTTAGAGTTTAGGGTTAGAGTTTAGGGTTAGAGGGTTAGAGGGTTAGAGGGTTAGAGTTTAGGGTTAGAGTTTAGGGTTAGAGTTTAGGGTTAGAGGGTTAGAGTTTAGGGTTAGAGGGTTAGAGTTTAGGGTTAGAGTTTAGGGTTAGAGTTTAGGGTTAGAGGGTTAGAGTTTAGGGTTAGAGTTTAGGGTTAGAGGGTTAGAGGGTTAGAGTTTAGGGTTAGAGGGGTAGAGGGTTAGAGTTTAGGGTTAGAGGGTTAGAGTTTAGGGTTAGAGTTTAGGGTTAGAGTTTAGGGTTAGAGGGTTTGAGTTTAGGGTTAGAGTTTAGGGTTAGAGGGTTAGAGGGTTAGAGTTTAGGGTTAGAGGGTTAGAGGGTTAGAGTTTAGGGTTAGAGGGTTAGAGTTTAGGGTTAGAGTTTAGGGTTAGAGTTTAGGGTTAGAGGGTTAGAGGGTTAGAGTTTAGGGTTAGAGGGTAGAGGGTTAGAGTTTAGGGTTAGAGGGTTAGGGTTAGAGTTTAGGGTTAGGGTTAGAGTTTAGGGTTAGAGGGTAGAGGTTAGAGGTTAGAGTTTAGGGTTAGAGGGTTAGAGTTTAGGGTAGAGGGGTAGAGGGGTAGAGGGTTAGACTGACATTAGCACTTACTCAGATACCCCTCCTGCTTTAACCGCCTACAGTTCAAACGTCCACGCCCGAAGCAGCTTTTCAGGTAAACCCTGTCCACACAAACAGGTAGACATTGAAAAGTTGTCCTTTCCTGTTCAAGATGATAAGATTCATGTATTCCCACAAAGCACAAAGAGCTAAAGATGACGCAGTCTGAAGGATGAACTGATGGCTATTTACTGACTCTTGTCTACTTCCCGTCTCTACTGTTGTGGTTTGTTGCCATGCGCCTTTTGCACTAACACTTTCACCTCCTCTCCTTGATCACCTCTGAAGTATTGTCTGAATATCTGAGGGTCATAACCGGCCTCTCTATCTTAGAGTTTGGAGCTGGCATTCATTTCTTTGCTTTTAACGTCGACAGAGCTGTTAGTCTGTGTTCTGCTAATGCTAACGGGTAACCAGGACTCTGCTAAACACAAAAATGTTTCCTCTTTAAAAATAGATTTTATTCGACAGAAAACTAGACTCCTTTGTCCCTGATGATGGGAATGTCATAATGCTGAGATATTTTCCTCACCTCTGCCAAACTGTTTCTCGCTGCATGTGACTGTGTCTTCTTCATCGTTGGTGCTACAAGCTGCAGGGCTGAGCACCGCCTTTGGCTCGCTCTGTATTCACTGCTTACAGATGGTCAAAAAGCTGTGTGTTTGTTTAAATGTCCTTTTCTCCTTCCGTCCTTTGACAATGAGGTCTTCATGTCAGTTAAAGGGATGCCGAAACGTGTTCACACTGTTAAAATTATAACTGTTGCATCATGGGAAATTAGTTAAAGCACTTTTCCTCTATCAGGAAGTGGTTTCAGCAAAGCTACATGCTTGCTGCTACAGCTCCACCTTCAGGGAATTGAACGCAAGTGAGACTTAAATGTGCCAAAAGGTACCAAATCTCGGCCTCCCTTTAAGCGCCCGGCCTCAGAACTGAAGCAAATGAAAAGTTGCACTGTTTAAAAGTTTAAGATGTATGTTGTGAATTTATCGTTATAAGCATTGAAAATGTTCTGCTTAAGGCTTGCACTCGCCTCAGATTTATTTTTTAAATTAGCCAGAATGAAACCCTTTGTTTAAAAATGTTCAGTAGAGAGATAGTAAGTATGACATAAGAGGGAAACACACTCTCTTGAACTGATGAACTTCAGAGACAGTTGAAAGCAACATTTCACTCAATTAGCAACGTCTTTGTGACAACAATGGTGCCAAGGCATCAGATTGAAGAGTTAACTGGCGCTTCATTTTGGATTTGTTGGTCCTGACTCAGGATTAGCTGGCCATCATGGACTAAAAACTGGACTTGTTTGTCTTGACATGGAACTCGTCCTTGAAGTGGACTTGTTTTCAGATTGGGATTTGATGTTGGTCACTTTGGATTTATTGATCTCAACCTTTTGTTTGCGTGCTTGACAAGTTGTTCGGAATTAATGAGCCTTACTCGTGTGTAGTGCGAGCAACACTCAGGGCAAAGTTGCCTTTAGGCTGTTCTTAAAGTTGCCTTGTTGTCGAAAGAGGTCTGATGCCTTGTTCTGAGTCATCAGCCATCAGAAGTCAGAGTTGTAACAATCATCCAACAGGCAGATCCCAGTGAAATGTTGCTTTTTACCTGTTAGTTAGTTGAGCATGAAAGATGTGTTTCCTGTGCAGGACCTGCTGGGCTTCACTGGGCCAACATGGAAACAATGAGAAGTTC